CAGAAGGGGAGGAGATAACCACCACCCCAGGAATTCTCAGGAAAAATGTTCATACTTAGCCAGTTGAGGTGGCGAATGCCTGTGACCCCAGCATTTGGGAAGCAGAGGCAAGAGGATCTCTGAGTTCAAGGCCAGCCTGTTCTACAGTTCGAGGCCAGGACAGCCAAGGAGCCAAGGATACACAAGAAAAACCCTGTCTCAAAGAAACCAACCAACCAAACAACAACAACAAAATTAATACTTAAACTGAAGGGGGAGGGGGACTAGTGAGTACAGAATAGTCGGCATTGGTAGGCTTCAAGAAAAAGTGGTGTTTAGTGAAACTTTTGTCGGTCTCATAAAAGAGTGCGTATCTATTTTTGGAAACATTTGGAGTACTGGAGTGCCGTGGTCAAGAGAGTTCATAAACCACGGGACAGGATTCAGATCTCCCCTAATAGATGGTCTGCATTTGGAATGGAGTTAGCAAATCCAGGCAACTCAGTGAAACCCATGTGGGTGAGGACTGGGGGTTCTTTGTAGCTATCAACTGTCTAATAAGGATGGACAGGAATTGCTAAGGAGAAGAAAGCTATGTTTCCCACTGTGGGCAGAGGGGTTGGACATGGAGGGACCTCTCAGACCAGGTTCCAGGTATTCAGGGCCCTCATGGAGCCCAGCAGGAAGGTGAAAAGGTAGTTGCCATTCAGGTGGGGTGGCCACATGCCTGACCTTGTCAGTGGGGCCTTGCACTCCATGGGAATTTTTTTTTTTTTTTTTTTGAGATTGGCTTTCTCTGTGTGTCCTTGGCTATTCTAGAACTCAATCTGTAGACCAGGCTGAGATCCAGACTCAGAAAGCCACCTGCCTCTGCCTCCAGAATGCTTGGATTAATGGCGTGCGCTGCCGCCGCCACTACCACCACTGCCATACAGAATCAGTAACCTTTAGCCCTTGCTTCAGGTTTAGGGTCCTCAGTATTTCCTGCAAGAATCTGTAGACTGGTGTGAACTGGGGTCTGTGGCTCCACCCTTCCGTTCCATCAGGCCTGTACAGCCAGGTTGGTGGAGGCCTTCTGGCTGGCTAGGAGCTGTTTTATTTTGGGTTAACAGTCCTGCTCCCAGCTATATTTACCTTGTGAAGCTGCATGCAATCTAATCTGCTGTGATCTCTCAGGGACACGGCTGGGGCCCTGAATGTCAGCTGCCAGATTCTTCCCAGGCCTCTGACTTTATTCTCCTTACCCTGCGGGAGAGATTCCTAGTGGGAATCATTCTGGAAGAGGACTAAGTGCCTGTGAACAGTTTTCATCAAGGCTCATGATGTGTATCAGCCACTCCTTTCTTTTTTTTTTTTAAGATTTATTTATTATGTATACAGCGTTCTGCCTACATGCCAGAAGAAGGCACCAGCATCTCATTACAATTGGTTGTGAGCCACCATGTTGTTGCTGGGAATTGAACTCGGGACCTCTGAAAGAGCAGCCAATGCTCTTAACCTCTGAGCCATCTCTCCAGCACCCCCAGCCCTTCTTGTTCAGGGTCATTTCTTGTATGCAACCCTGTGGCATTGAACTTGGTCCTGTATGTGGCAATGGTGCACACAGCCACTGTGTGGTTAGACTTCCAAGAATGATAGATGAGGGTAATAGGGTTTCTTCCGGAGCACAGCACCAGTCCTTCCTCTTCCGTGGAGAGCTCAGCCTTCCCTCATCCAAGGCTGTGAGGATATGCAGAGTATGTGTGCTTCGGCTGGGTTTTATGGCTGTGGTGATGCTATCCTGCAAAGATGGTCACTTGGCCGGGTCTTGGGTGAAGAACTTGCCCCTGATGTCCACATTGGGAGCTAGTGCTGCCTCAGAAGGTCCAAGCGTGCCGGCCTGGGGAGTTTCTCTTCCACTTCTAACCCTTTGTTTTTCTTTTTAACTAAGATTTATTGAGCTTCTCCTGTGGCTGAGTCTGTGCTAAACATTTACACTTCAAAACCTCAGCGACCTGTGAAGGAACTGTTACACACACAGGCTTTAGAGTTCCCCTGCCCTACCCTAGAGCAGGAAAGCTACCTTCCTGCAATTGTTCTCCCTTGTCTGAGCCTCAGTTTCCTTATTTGAAAGTGAGTAATGAGTGAGTCTGTCTGTCTGTCTGTCTTGTACGTCTGTGCATGGAACCCAAATGCCCACACCACACTGGGCTAGCATGCTCCTGCTGACCTACAGCCTTTGCCCCAGTATTGATAATCGCTAAGAAGAATCTTCGAGCCAGGCAGTGGTGGCTCATACCTTTAATCTCAGCACTTAGGAGGCAGAGACAGGCAGATCTACAGGTTCGAGGCCAGCCTGGCCTCACTGTGTAGATAGTGAGTTCCAGGATAGCCAAGGCTACGCAGAGAAACCCTCTCTTGAAAAACCAGCCAACCAAACAAAAAGGAATCATTGATATGCTAAAGTTTATTATCTGTCAGATCGTGCTTTAAGGACATTTTGTGGTCATTAGCTCTGGAACTTCATAACTATCATAAGCAGGCCTTCATTTTATGGATGCAAAAACTGGGGTACGAGGACTTCTAATACTTGCCCAGAGTCACAGCTTTGTAAGGTGAGGCACAAATTTCACATTCAGCTTTGTGTTTTGAGGGGTTGTGCTTAAAGCTCAGTGGAGGGAACAGTAGGCTACTTGGAGGTCGCTGGGATGCAGGGAAATATACAAACTCAGCCACAAACACGGCAGAACGTATTCCCCTCCACCCCAGTGGACCAGGCAGTTCCACCAAACTCTCCTGCTTGTCCTTTCTCAGGTTTCAGGTTGCAGGACAACAGGCCAAAACAGGAAGAGGAAGTAAGGGGTGGGGAGGTGGCAGGAGGTGCTGCTGCTGAGAGTACACAGGCTGGGGGCAGAGACTGGATGAGATGTGCCTTGCCTTGCTGTGCTGCTCCGGGTCCCTCACCCGCATGTGCTGGGTTGCCCGGCTCCATTGCCCACATGGGCTCAGAAGAATTCTCAGGGTTGGCATTAGGCCAGCAGGGAATCTTAAACAACAGTCAAAATCCTCATGGCAGTGCCCCAAATTTACATGAACTTGAACTGTTTTGTAAATTCTCAGGCTGAAGCATCTGTATTCTTGCTAGTTGTGTCAATTCTTGGGCAAAAGCCTTAAAACCCTGCTGAAATGTCCTGAAAAGTCTTCAGAATATATAAACCGGGCTGTTTCAATGCTGTTGTCCACTCCTTTCCCAAGATTCTTGGGCTGTCTCTTTGCTGTGTCTCTAGTCTCGTCTCTTCCACCTCTTCCACCTTATAAAGGGGGTTGGGTGTGAACCAGAGCTCTGGAGTGAGAGTTAGGATGGCTCTGGCTTGAGAGCCTGGCCTGCTGCTGCCATGCTTCTCTCCAGCAGGAGAAGGGTAAGAGCCTGGAGAGTTTCAGGTAGACTGGGATGGAAAGGAAGGTTTTAAACTGACCAGTAATAAAATCCATTTTAACTGATTTTACTGTGCCCCCTCTCAGCAAGTATTTGGCATGGATTAACATAACTACCTTCCCAGGCATTTACCATCATTTTTCCCCCTTAAAGACTAGGTAGCTCAGGCTGTCCTTGAACTCATTATGTGGCCAAGGATGACCTTGAATGCCCAGTCCCCTTGCCTTGCCTTTCCCAGTGCTGAGATTACAGGCATGAAGCACCACACATAGTTTATTTCAGTGCTGGGGATTGAACAGAGAGCTTTATGCACAGGAGGCAAGCATTCAACCAACTGAGCTACCTTCCCCAGCCTCCCTTGATGGCAGTGTCATTTCCCCTGTTTCTTTGCTGCCCTTGACCCGCTAGCCCACATGGGCAGACCCTGGCGATGTACCCAGTTGCCCGCTGCTCCTGGCCCAGATCTGATAAGTCGACTCCTTTGCATGAGGGTTATTTGCAAGACCCAAGTGTAAAGCACAGGTGGCAGGTATGCCCCCGGTGAACCCAAATCCTCAGGTCTCCAGGAATGGGGGAGCTGCAAATGTGTGAGCCCTAGGGCTGAAGGAGGGGATGCCTTGGGGCTTGCTGGCCGCCCAGACAGCCAAGATTTAGACACTGGGCTGAGCCTGTCTGTTCTGAGAAGCCTTCCTCAGTTCCTTGTTGGCCTGTGCACTCTGTTCTCAGAATGGACCTGGATGTGGTCTGGGAAGGTCTTTACATCTCCAACCCATTCCTTGTCCCCCAGAGCAGGACAGGAAATTGTGTCCTGTTTGGGTATGAGAGTGTGGGGCCAATAGGATTGTGGTTGGTAGTTCATTTTTGTTGGTTTGTTTTGGTTTTGGTTTTTCCAGACAGGGTTTCTCTGTGTAGCCCTGGCTGTGCTGGAACTCAGATCTACCTGCCCCTCTGCCTCCTGAGTGCTGGGATTAAGGGCATGCCTGACCACCGCCAGACAGTAGTTAAATTTTTAACTTTTAATGTATTTTAAGGTTTTCTTGGTCTGGAGAGGTAGTTAAGCAGGTAGAGCTGCCTAAGATTGACACTCTTGAGTTTGATCCCTAGGACCCACATACATGGTAGAAGGAAAGAACTACTTCCTGAGGCAGAGGCAGGTGGAGTGCTGTGAGTCTGAGGATAGCCTGGTCTACAGAGCAAGTTCCAGGACAGACAAGGCTCCACAGAGACCCTCTCTCAAAAAAAATAAAATAAAATAAAATTTGCAGAATATGCTTAACTGTACTATCTTCACTATTTGTGATTAACACTGATAGTGGCAGTGTTCCTATTTGGAAGATATTTGCTGTACACTGGGAACTCTCATTTAACTGTTAAAATAATTCTGTGAATTAATAGGTCAAACCCATTTTCTATATATGGTAAGGCCAGGAGACACTGACCCCTGAAGGACACATGCTTTCCTCATCGGTACTCTTTGCTACTTCTCAACCCAGAGTGGGCAGGCTTTACCATTCCCAGAAACAGACTCAGAGGCCAAGCGTCGGTTCTGATGGGAAGAGAAGTAGGATTTGAGGGAGACACTCACTTCCCTGTTCCCGGCTCCTAGGTGGCGATGGTGGAAGTCCAGCTGGAAGCAGACCATGACTACCCGCCGGGGTTGCTCATCGTCTTCAGTGCCTGCACCACAGTGCTGGTGGCCGTGCACCTGTTCGCACTCATGATCAGCACCTGCATCCTGCCCAACATTGAGGCTGTCAGCAACGTCCACAACCTCAACTCTGTCAAAGAGTCACCCCATGAGCGCATGCACCGCCACATCGAGCTGGCCTGGGCCTTCTCTACTGTCATTGGGACGCTGCTTTTCCTGGCCGAAGTCGTGCTGCTCTGCTGGGTCAAGTTCTTACCCCTCAAGAGGCAGCCAGGCCAGCCAAGCCCCACCAAGCCCGCTCCTGAATCAGCCGTGGTCGTAGCCAACACCAGCAACAGCGGGAGCATCACCCCAGGCGAGGCGGCCGCCATCGCCTCCACTGCCATCATGGTCCCCTGTGGCCTGGTGTTCATCGTCTTTGCTGTTCACTTCTACCGCTCACTGGTCAGTCACAAGACGGACCGGCAGTTCCAGGAGCTCAACGAGCTGGCTGAGTTTGCGCGCTTGCAGGACCAGCTGGACCACAGAGGGGACCATTCTCTAACACCGGGCACCCATTATGCCTAAATCCTCACCTTCCCTCTGGCCCTGTGGAGCTTTGTCCTTACTCCCTTCCCCGAGACCTTGTCCTGGCTCAGTCTGGAGGACAGGACGGTCTGTGTAGGCTTCACCAGGGCAATGTGTGGAAGAAAGAGGCTTTAAAAAAAAAAATCACTGCACTTTGAGACTTTCTTCTGTGAGAATAAGCACTCCCTGTTCTTCCGGCTCGGGGTGCCCCTCCTGATAGGAGGTGGGGGTGGGGGGTGGAATGGAGACAGATGATCTCTTTGTCCCTTCTCCTCCCCTGCACCAGTGCCACCCGGTTGCTTCCTGTCCTGTCCTCCTCAACCTCCTTCCTGGTTCACCAAATGTGCGTGCGTGCGTGCGTGCGTGCGTGCGTGTGTGTGTGTGTGCGTGTGCGTGCGCGTAAGCGTGCACGTTTCTCTGTGTAAAATGCATAAAATATATTCACAAGGGACATCTCTTCCTCATGTCTATGTTCATTGGGTTTTGACTGACCGATAGGATGTCCCAGTCAGGTGAAGCACTAAACAGTCTTTTTTTTTTTTTTTTTTTTTAATTGGGAGGAAGAGACCCAGGGACAGAACACAACCGGCATGTTCAAAGCCATGGGATCAGTTGGAATCAGTTGCCAACTCTATAAAAACTGTTTTGCTGGGGACAGAACCCAGGAACTTGCCTGGGCACTCCCACTGTGCTACACTTCAAGACAGGGAACTCTGTCTGGAAAATTTCTACTCAAAAGGAGTCTTCAGGGATAGTCATTAAAATGTGTACCTAAGTTGTTTCTTTTGGAGGTGGTTACCAGAAATGGGTGTGCACACACTGAGCCACTGTTTCAAGGGGAAATGTAAAGTTAGGTTCTTGTTAACCTCTGGTCACAGTATTTTTATGTTATTAAGATGCTACATTGTGTTGAATGAAGCTAATCAAAGGAATAAACAGATCTAAGCAGGCCTTCCCCCCCCCCAAAAAAAAAAAAAAAGATGCCACATTGTATTAGGCGTCACTGAGTTTGAATACATATGTTGCAGGGTAGGAGAGAGGGCTCAGTCTTTCAGAGCCCTTGGTTGTGCTTCCAAGAAGACCCAGGTTTCAGGCCTAGTATCCAACCATCTGTAACTTCAGTTGCAGGAAAGCTTAAAGACTCTTAGGACCAGAGAGAGCTCAGTGGTTAAGAGTGTTTGCTGCTCTTCCAGAAGGTCTGAGTTCAGTTTCAGCCACCCACATGAGGGAGCTCACAACTGCCTGTAAATTCAGCTTCAGGGGACCTGACAGCCTTTTCTACCTCCACTGGGCGCCAGTGCGCACATGACATGCTCACACGGACACACAGATATCCTTGTTAGCTTGAAGATGACCTTGGGAAACCAAAGATATTCCCTTACATACCCATAACTCATTGGTCAAATTCAGAACAAAGCAAACAAACTGGAGAACAGGATTTTATGTAGCCCAGACTGGCCTCGGTCTTTAGGAATACCCACCTCCCAGTGGTGGAATTAAGTGTGTGCCATACATCCACTTTATGGGATACTAGGGGTTAAATCCAGGGCTGCTGCTGCTGCGCTAGTCAAGGGCTCTGCTTTGTCTAAACCCCCAGCCCCAAATCAGGAAATTGGTTGTTGGTACATTGCAGTTACCACCTGATAACTCCTGTTCACTTCCTTACCTGTCCTGAGAATACCCTTTCTAGCAATCCTTTTCTCCACTCTATTTGTAGTAATGAGTTATCCCTTATTGTCTCTAATTTGGAACAGTTGTATGGCTTTCGTCTTTTCAGGTGTGAACCTCTGGAGGTCTTATTAAGATGGCTGCATGTAGCCCAGGCTAGCCTCAAATTTGCTATGTAGTGGAGGATTACCTTGAACAATTGATACTCTCTCTCAAGTTCTGGGATTACAGGTACATACCGAGTGTCTTGCAGAGCTGGGAGCTAACCAGGCTCTCTGAGCTGCCGTCCTCACCCCAACATTAACTGTTTGTTTTTAATGTGCATGTGTGAGTGCCTGCATGTATTGTATGTGAACCATGTGCTCACTTGGTGCCTTTGGCAGCCAGAAGAGGATGCCATGCCACCTGATAACTGGACTGACAGTGGTCAGCCACCGACTAGGTGCTGGGGACAAAACTTGGATCCCATGGGAGCAGCCAGGACTTTGACCACTGAGATATCTCTCCAGGCCAGATATTAACTTTTAAAAGTTTTTTAAGCACCAGACCTGTGGTTTTACAGAATGCCTTGTTAGTTTAGCTTCTCTTGATGTATTTTTTTTTCCTGGTTATGATCAGATTGGGCATTTTGACAGGAGTGGTCCACAAGGTTGTCAGTACATCCACCTGAAACGAGACTAGTTAGCCATTGTGTCCACAGGATGCTTTAAGTTCTGCTTGCTGCTCATTTGACCCTTGACCCTCAACATTCTCAGAATATGTTAATCAGCCCTGTGCAGGAAACAAAACTAAAACTATTGCTCAAGAAAGTTAATGTAACAGACCTTTGTGTCACATGATTATGTAGGCATAAAAAAACGGCAACATTGAGGATTTGTTTCAGTTTGTGTTCTCAAAGACATCAGGGCAACATGATGGAGAAGAAAGGGTAGAAACATCAGTTTATGTCATGGTGGCCAAGAGTCAAACGAGGATGTGGAGAGCAACCAGTCATCTTCCCGCCAAGCCCCAGCACCCATGTTTCACCACCTCCCAATAATGTGAGCCCAAGAGGAGTGACTCCCTGCCATTGATTAGGTCAGAGACCTTGTGAGCTAATCGCCTTTGGATATGCACACACACACAGTCCCACAGGTGCTTTATTAATCCCCAGGGCTTTTCCTAATCCAGTCAAGTTGACAGTGAAGATTAACTCTCACAAGTAGCCTGCCAGGACTCCAACCTGGAAGATGGCCCTGAGCCCAGGGCCTGGAAGGAATCTTACCTGGGCAGATTCTGGCATTGCTAGAAGGGGAAGGTCCAGGAGCACTGGGCCTACCTTGCGGAACTACAGTTAGCAAGTCCTGAGTTAAAGTCACAGTTACCCAGGGCCTGTCTTTGCTACAGTTCCCACCGTTCACCTCCTCTTCCACACCAAGCACTTTCAATATTCCTTCCCTTGAGTTACTGAAGTGGCTTGGCAGATAAAGGAACCTTCCCAAAGCTTGGCATTGGTGGCGCAGGCCTTTAATCCCAGCACTCAGGAGGCAGAAACAGTCGGATCTCTGAGTTGGAGGCCAGCCTGGTCTGCAGAGTGGGTTCCAGGATAGCCAGGGCTACACAGAGAAACCCTGTCTGGAAAAACAAAGAATCAGCAGGCAAACACCACCATCACCTTTGAGCTTGATTCACGCTGTCAGGTTAGACTCTGGAATCGATTTCTAACAAGTACACAGACAACTTGAATAAATATTCCTTAAGAGCTCACTCAGAGCTGAGGTGTAGCTCAGTGGTAGAGCATTTGCTTAGCGTACACCACTCTGTGTTCCATCCCAGCACCAAAGTAGACAAAAAAGTCTCTCTGCTTTGGCTCTATTTTTATTTTGGCTACAGTAGATTATCAAATTCACTTGCTTCCAAACTCAACAGTAAAAAGTTTTTTTCCCAGTTGTCTCCAGAAGGAGTACTTACTGCCATTTTATTGCTTTTCTAGATAGTGTATCCTCACTCCCCACCCCTTTTTGAGGTGGAGTGTCTACATAGACCAGGCTGGAGAGATCCTCCTGCATTTGACTCTCAAGTGCTAGGATTAAAGGTGTGCACCACCATGCCTAGTACCAGTCCATACACAAACTTCCACCCTAAGAATATAGAGGTCTGTGCTGGAGAGATGGCTCAGCAGTTAAGAGCATGTGCTCTTCAGCCAGAGGACCCTGTTTTGATTGCTTGCACCCATGTGGCAGCTCATACCTTCTTGGGCACCAGGCATGCATATGATATATACACAGGCAAAACACCCAAACACATAAAATAAAAAATAATGTAGAACAACAAACAATATAGACCTAAGGTTAGGCCCATATAAACCAGTTTCCTTCCAAACAGCACAGAGAGCAGTGTAGGCCACCTCACAGGCTCTGGAGTCACAGGAGAGGCGACTGGAGCTCTCCATATGGGGCCTGGGGCAGAGGAAGCACTCCACACCTGTAGTTGAGCTGGTCCTACATCTTGGAGTCAAGTACAGACAATACCCAATACCACACACCCTGAAGCAGGTCACCACACCTAGAGTTTAGGAGCAAAGAAAACCTCATCATGTCAGTGTGAGCTTTTTTGTTGAGGCTATCCTTGTCCCCACTACTGAGACCAGGCTGGTTCTCTTCCTTCTCTAGAGCGCTGGAATTATAGGTGTGAGCCACCATGCCTCACTAAGTTAGGGCATTTGCTGAGAATTTTATGGACAGACTTGGAGCTGAATCATTCCTTTGTAGCCTGTTTACATTGTAAGGTGTTGAGCTGGGCATAGTGTGCAGGCCTTTAGTCCTCGGGAGGCAGAGACAGGCAGATCTCTGTGAGTTCGAGACCAGTCTGGTCTGCATAGTGAGCTCCAGGACAGTCAGAACTACATAGTAAGACCCTATCTTAAAGAAAGAGAAGAAAACTAAATATTAAAATAGCATTATAGCAACATCCCTGCTCTAGAATCCAGTAGCATTCCTCTCTGTCCATCATGACATCCAGAAGTGTCTCCAGGCCTTACCATATATTCCCAAGTAGTTAGGAGACAGCAAAAATCCTAGGTGGTTTTAAACTACTATCTGTCCATACCACGGAAAGAGGGTTTCTTTGTGTAGTTCTGTATGTCCTAGAACTCAATGTAGACAAGGCTGGCCTCAAACTCAGAGATCCTCCTGCTTCTGCCTCCCAAGTGCTAGGATTAAAGGTGTGAGCCACCACCCTGCTTGTTACTCAATAGTTCTTACATCTTCCTCAGGATTCTTGTGTTAGTCTAAGGTGATCTTTAATCACCTTCTTTAATCTCAGGTCTTAGCGGCCATTGTGGCAGAGTACAGGCTCACTCTTTTCTCTGAGCTATCTTAGGGGCAGAAGAGCTGAAGCCACTTGCTTCCCTGTCTCATACCCTCAACTCCCCGATACCCATGTGCGCTCTTGCACGTGCGCACGCACGCACGCATGTACACACACACACACACACATACACACACACCTACACCTACACCGGGGGAGAAATCCACACATTAGGGGAGGCGGCCTCTCCACTCCTTCAGGCCCCTCCAACCCCTACTCAAGCCATAGGCCCTTGGATTATGGGCCACCATGTTTTTTATTTTCATGAACTCAGATATAACACCATAGGGCAAAGACTTTAAACCAGTGGGTCCTGAGGGAGAAGGAATACCCCACTCCTACTGGCAAAGAAAAACCTAGTGTCTGGAGGAGTAGGTCCCTCTGGAGAAGCCAGGGGTGTGCCCAGAGACACTGCTTGTTCCTCCTGCAGGAGCTCCACCGGTCTGAGCAGTTTGGTGACACAGGCTGGAGTTTCTCCTGAGCCTCCATGCAGTGTCTGCACTGGAGGGGATGATGCCGGAGCTAGGATCAGAAATAAACCACCCGCACCCTCTCCCTAAAGCCCCACAGCCACCCCAAGACAAGGCCCCACCAACAACCCACAGCCATGTGCAAGGGCCTTGAGAAGGCGTGAACCACCCCAGGAGGCTGAGAATGCAACTGAGGGGAGCCGGGCAGGACTGGAATGCACTTGGTCTTCTGGGAACGCATTTCAAAGAGGAGTGACCAGGAAGGAAAATCTGGACCACTCGAGGCAAGAAACCTGCCCTCTCTGGTCGTCTGCTGAGCCCTTCAGTGTTCGGGGACCCAGAGCGGCCTCAGCCATCAGAGAGGGCAGGCGGCTGTGTCTTCTCAACTGGCATCAGTTGTGTCCCTCCTCAGGATTCATCAGTTTAGCTATTGCTTTTTTCAGCACGCCATCTGGGTCTAAAATCTCCACCTGCAGGAAAGCAGGGAGGGGAGAGGAGGGAGGACTGGTTGGTGGATTTAAGGAGCATGGAAGGCCCCAGGCTGCCTTGCTAGAGATGCTCCACTTGGAAAAAAAAGAACCGCATCTATAGTCCCCAGACACGTGGGGCTGTGGATGCCGCTTTTTGCCTCTCTCGTTTTTGGGCAGCAGGAGGACCACCAACCTTAGGAATGGGGAACTGGGTGGGCTCAGGGGCCTCATCACGGCCGAAGTCAATCATGGTGCCACACTTGGCCACGTCATCCACCCAGAAGCCTTCAAACAGTTGACCATGGTCCAGATGAAAGAAACGCCCACGCCCGTTCTTCATGCCTCTCTCCCAATTGCCCTCATATCTGTTTCCGTTCTCTAGAGAAAGTTCGGAAAAGCCATGGCTGCTGGGTGCCGGGAAGCAGCCAGGATCAGGCTGGGCCTGCCCAGTCCCAGCTGCTGACAAGTATGTCAGCTATTGAGAGTCATTAAGCACAGAGCAGTAGGTGCAGTGTCCAGCTCGACATAAATGTCACTCAACTTCAACCACTTCAAGAGATTTTATTTTGCTAGTCGCAGTGGCTCACACCTTTCATCCCAGCACTCGGGAGACAGGGCAGGTGAATCTCTGAGTTTGAAGCCAGCCTCGGCTACCAAGAGAGTTCCACTTGGAATAAAAGATGGTTCCTATCTTGGAATAAAAACAGAGAGGATGAGATCTTAATTTGATTTTTTTGTTTGTTTGTTTGTTTGTTTTTGAGACAGGGTTTCTCTGTGTAGCCTTGGCTGTCTAGGATTTGCTTTGTAGACCAGGCTGGCCTTGAACTCATAGAGATGCGCCTGCCTCTGCCTCTGAGAGTGCTGGGATTACTACAGGTGTGGTCCACATGCCCAGCTTTACTGTTTGGTGTTGGAGATAGAACAGGGCACTTTCGCACTAGGCACATCCTCTGCCTGAGGACTACAGTTATAGCTCCGGTTTGTGCGGAAGTAACAAAAACCAAAGCTGCTTTTGTTATTTTGTTTTGTTCTGCAGTGCTAGGGGTTTTGAGCATGCCAGGTAAGTGCTCTGTACCCTCAGGCCTTGGCCAGAAACTCCAGATGTAGAACAGGAATTCAGAGCTCTATCTGCCTCTGCTTCCCAAGTACTGTGATTAAAGCCTAAACTTCATTTTTGAGACAGCAATTTGCTACATAGCTAACACAGGCTGGTCTTAGACTCTCTCCTCTCTCTCTCTCTTTCTTCTCGTTCTCTCCCCTCTCTCTTCCCCCCTCTCCCCACCCTCTCAGTTTTTTGAGACAGGGTTTCTCTTTGGTAGCCTTGGCTGTCCTGGACTCGCTTTGTAGACCAGGCTGGACTAGAACTTACAGAGCTCTGCCTGCCTTTGCCTCCCAGAGTGCTGGGGCTGGAGACCACTGCGCCCGCTCAGGCCGCTCTCTAAGTCGAGGCAGTACTGCTGATCCTAGGTGTTGGGGACCATGCTCACCTCCCATTTTTTCTTTTGGCGTGAATGTGTTAAAAGCAGGCCCTTGCGTGCCGTGGTTCGTGGGTAATGTGACACATGTGGAGGCAAGAGGGCAACTCTGGGGAATCAGGATCAAACCAGATGGTCAGGCCTGTGCTGGAGCACCGTTGTTAGCCACCGAGACAGCTCACAGGCTTTCCCATTTTTAGAAAATTCGGGCGTATGTTAACCACAGGGAAACGACTGAAGCAGCTCACGCTAATTACCTCGGTGCCCCAGAGCTAATGCCGGCTCACACCGGAATCTGAATTCATGCAAGCTCGCCCGGAGTACAGGCCATGAGGAATGAAGCACCAGGAACATTTGCTCTGCTCAGCGAGGGCTCACTGAATCCAGGTTACGCTTAGGGGAAGCTCACTGAAGGCAGTCCTGTAGCTACAGGGGCAGACTGGTGGCCTACACCCTCCCACCTGACCCAGGGCCTCAGTTTACTGGGCTCTCACTTTTCCCACGGCCAACAAGAATGGTATTATGGGGCGTGGCTGGTGGGGCAGGGGGTTGGGGCCAGATCTTTCCGGGACTGGGCGGGGCCAGAAGGCGTTGGGGGGGGGGAGTTTGATGGACCCGGAGCACTCACTCAGCCGCAACATGCCCTCCCCGTCAGGCTTGTCGTTCTGCCAGTGGCCTTCGTAGATGTTGCCGTTGTGGTAGTACATGCGTCCCCACCCGCTGCGCTGGTTGTTACACCACTCACCCTCGTAATACTCCTTGGGTCCGAAAAACTGGATCCCATAGCCCTGAAAGCAGGAAGGTGTCCCCCCATTTGCCAGTTTACCCAAGTCTCACACCTACGCTTCCAAGCCCGCATTCCAAGCAGAGGTGAAGGAATTCTAGCTGTGTCTCCACTGCCTTCAGACAGCCCGCATATGATCGCCCAACCAACTCTGACTGCATTCAGTGGCCTCTTCAGCTAGTCTACTTAGAAACATACAACATTTGGAGGCCAGCGGCAGGAAATCAGAGACTGCTGGGGATCGCAACTCAAACTGGCTGGGTTTAAGTAACTAATCTGTACCTCCCTGATGCAGGGGCCATTACTCTCTTCCCTTCCTTGGGCAGACAAGACCTGCTATGTAGCATCTCTGTTATTTCTTCTCACCCTCTGACATGTCTGCCTGGCCAGCTCCTTGCTTTTTTGGGTATGACCTCCTGCTCTGTATTCTAGGTCAGACTGCATGATCTCTCAACCACAGGAAACCACTGTTAACTCTGCATGAAATGTGAAGCATTTGTTTTAGGCTCAGTCTTTTCACCAGGAGCAAAGAACACGGTGTCTTGGACTGTGCAGCTGGCTGGCTGTGTCTCTAACACGGGGCTAGGGGCTTCACCTCTCTGAGCTTGCTCCCTTGGTAAAAAGGAAATAGCCACGAAAACAAAGCTGTCAGAAAAGTCACTCAAGCACCACATACATTAACTGCTCAAGAGCAACACGGTTGTAACTATCGCGCTCCATGGTGTATAGCCCAGGCTGCCCTCAAACTCACTAACCTCCTGCCTCCATCTTCAGAACTCTGCAGCCCCTCGCCCTGCTTCTGAGCTCTCATGGGACTCAGGCCAACAGAAAGAGGATTCTCAGAATGGGGTACCAGGGAGAAGAAAGCCAGGAAATGAGTGGGGGAGAGCGGGGAGGAGACCTTGCTTGCTGTCTCCTGGTAGCCACAGAGGTTTTTAAGGGGCTCCTCCCTAGGGGCCCCCTTCTCTTGCTTCCTGTTTTCTTGGTTTTGATTTGAGAAGGACTGTAATCCCCCCTTCCTTCTCCCACCCACCAAAACACTGGCTCAAGGTCCACCTCCCACCTTCCCCCTCTACACACACACACACGCACACACACACACACACACACACACACACACACACACACACTGCCTCCCCTACAAACAAGGCATGCTAGGAACCACTCACCGATTTCTTACCGCCTTTCCACCAGCCTGAGTACACCCTCCTGTACTTTCCAGTCTCTGGGTCAGGGTGACTAAGGATGCCATAGCCATCTTGCTTCCCAAACTTCCAGTCCCCTTCATACACAACACCACTCTTCTTCAAGAACTGTGTTCCTTTCCCTGGTGACACATGATGGGCCAAACACCGAAGACGGTTTATCACCCTGAAGCCAGAAGCCACATTTCAGCCCACACCTCAGGGACCTCTGCCCTGAACGGTTTCTTCGTGACTGGAATAGGGTCTGTACCTCATCTTTAGACTGTAAGCATGGAGAAGAAAGGAAAGTTCCGTGTCTGACAACAGTGATTCTCCTGCCCGCTAACAGCCATACTGATATGGCAAACCTCAGGCAGAGGTGAAGCTGAGGCGGGAGGATGGTGAGTTCCAGTCCAGCCTGGGCAAATCAGAGGCAAAATAAAGTTAAAAAAAAAAAAAAAAAAAAAAAAAAAAAAGGCCAGAAAGTGGCGTGAGAGCCTCGGTTCAATTCCCAGCAGTGAAACAAAGAAAAAAGAAATCCTGCTGTTTACAACATGGATGAAAGACATTAAGATGAGTGAAACAGCTGTGCAGTGGTAGCACACACTTTAATCCCAGCATTCAGGAGGCAGAGAGAGGTGGATCTCTGAGTTTGAGCTAGCCTGATCTATACAGTGAGTTGAGGACATCAAGGGCTACACAGAGAAATCCTGTCTCAAAAAAACCAGTAAAACAAAACAAACAAAACCCAAACAAAAAATAAATAAATAAAGAGCAAAATAAACCAGATGTAGAAGGACAAATACCAAGTGATGTCACTGTCATGTGGAATATCAAAAAGTCAAACTCAGAGATGAGAAAGTTGGATATGGGTCAAAGGCTATTTCAGCATAAGGTGACTAGCTTTCGGACTGTGATTATAGTTGATAACCAAGCCAGGGCTGGAGAGACTGCTCCTGGGGTGAAAGTGCTGGCCATGCAAGCCTGGTGACTTGAGTCTGAGCTCCCGGACCCACGGCAGAGAGAAAGAACTGGATCTCCATCTACACACATGCCGTGGCAATGCCTGTACATGTACATCATACATGTACATCACTCATGTACATCATACGTGCCTAGATTTATGCTGTGACGGAGCTCAAACCCAGGGCCTTTTGTGCATGCCCAGGAAGTATTTTACCATCTGTAGTCCTGTATTAGGAATTTGGGGGACAGGATCTTTTTTTTTTTTTTTTTCTGTAAGATTTATTTTATTATGTATACAATGTTCGGCCTGCATGTACACCTGAACGCCAGAAGAGAGCACCAGATCTTATTATGGGTGGTTGTGAACCACCATGTGGTTGCTGGGAATTGAATTCAGAACCTCTGGAAAAGCAAGCAGTGCTCTTAACCTCTGAGCTATCTCTCCAGCCCCTTGAGACAGGATCTTGTCCTGTTGCCTCATGATCCTTCCACCTACGCTCCTCAAAGCTGTGGATTACAGCTTGTGCTACCTTTCCTGGCCACAATCAGTCTGATTTCAGTGAATGTATCAAAGGAATGAATGAATGAATGAATGAATGAATGGAGTCACCATAAAGCAAGCATGGCAAGCAAACATCCATGTCAAGTCTACATATGCAGCCACTCCTCAACTCCCCTGTTGACTCGTTAGCAGGCGGGAATTTCCTATCCCCTGAACAAACTTAAACCAAGAGCAGCTGGAGGGCACCAGAGGTGGCAGGAAAAGTGTCCTGCTTCTTGGTTGGGTCTCTGAAGGGGACTCAACCACTGGAACTCTGAAAGCCAAGTGTCTCCCAGAAGGGAACGGGCACATGAAGAAAAATATCTTTGATTTACTTACACCCCTCTGAACATTTCCTTTAGCTAGGAAGAAAACTCTCACAAGTGTCAGGAATCACATCACTCTCCCTGGCATTTGCTCCACCATCTTCTGGCTATAGACTCTAGACTGAAGAAGCGAGTCTGTGATCAGAACCATGGTTGAGCCTATTACTCTCTTCCTTGGATTTCCCGTATTCGCTTTTATGTTTTTATAGTGCTGGGGGCACATGCTGGGCTTGGCTCATGTCAGGAAGCTGTCCATGCTATGCTAGCTACTTGACACAAGCCAGAGTCATTCCTGAAGAGGGAAAAAATGTCTCCATCAGGTTGGCCTGAGGGCAAGCTGGTGGGACATTTCTTGATTGATGATTGATGTGAAAGGGCCATAGAGCTCACTATGGGTTCTGTCATCCCTGTGTTAGTGAACCTGGGTGTGCTGTAAGAAAGCAGACTTGGGCAGGGGTGGCAAGAGAGATGGCTCAATGGTTGGGAACTCTTGCTGTTCTTACAGAGTGTCAATGTCCAGTTCCCAATACTCTTGGCTCACCACCATCCACAGAAATGAATGTGCTGCACACACATACATACAGGCAAACACTTACACACATAAAATAAATGAACCCTAAAAAAGGAAGGAAGGAAGGAAGAAAGAAAGAAAGAAAGGAAGAAAGGAAAAGAAAGAAAGCAGAGTAGGCAAGCCACAAAGAGCAAGCCAGTCAGCAGCACTTCCCCAGCCTCTGTATCAGATCCTGCCTTGAATTCCTGTCCTGACTTTCTTTGATAATAGACTGTAATGTGGAATTGTAGGCTAAAATAAACCCTTTCCTCTCCAAGTTGCTTTTGGCCTTAGTGTTTTATAATAAAAACCTGAGTAAGACAATCACTGAGCTATATTCCCAGCCCTTGTAGTTTAAATTTTATTTGTTTATAAAAGAATTTTATTTCTAAAGATAGATTTTTGTTCCTGTGTCTATGCCATGTGAATGTAGTAGCTACGGAGGCCAGAAGGGGGAGTTGTAACCCTGGAAGCTGAAGATACAGTGCTTGTATCTGGATGTAGTCTCTGGGAACTGAACTCAGGTTCTCAGCTTTTTTGTTTTGCTTTTTATTTTTGAGACATAGTCTCAGAACTGGCCCCAAACTTGCCATGTAAATCAGGCTGGCCTCTAAGTCAGAGATTTACCTACCTCTGTCTCCTGAGTGTAGGGTTTAGAGATGTGCACACCAAGGCCAGTGCGCAGTACTTGTTCTTAACTGCTGAGCTATCGCTCCCGCCCGCTCTTAGGATCTCAAATCTAAAGCAGAGGAGGTTTCAGTCATGTCTCATTTGCCTAGCACTGTTTGAAATTGTGAAATAAGATATGCACATTAGGAGATAAAATTTTGATCTAGGCTCTTCCTGACAAGGGCAGACTCAGCCTTCACCTAGCACATGCTTGGCACACACAGTGCTGACTAGCCTGTGCCCTTCTTTTCAACAGGGTTTGTCCTGCGCCAAAGAGCGAGAAAGCTTCGGGCTGGAGAGATGGTTCAGTGTTAAGAGCATTTGCTGCCTTTGCAGGGGACCAGGGTTCTGTTCCGGCAAGCAGATGGAAGCTCACAACCACCTGTAACTTCAGTTCCAATGGGATCTGATGCCCTCTTTTGATCTCCTTAGGCACCAGGTACTCACATGGTGTATATATATATATACATATCAAGGTAAAACACTCATGCATATAAAATAAAATAAATTAAAAAAAAAAAAGAAGACAAGGCCTGCCGTGGTCCATGAGGCACAATGTATTTGTTGTATAGTTATCTGTACTAGCATCTGAGTGGTTTTTTTTCTCTCTCTCTCTCTGTCTCTCTCTGTTTTGCTTTGTTTTTGAGACAGGGTCTCATTATACAGCCACAGCTGCCTGGAACTCCCCATGTAGGCCAGCCTGGCCTTGAACTCACAGAGATCAATCTACCTCTGCCTCTGGAGTATTGGAACTAAAGGTATGAGCCACCACAGCTGGCCACTACTTTCTTTTTTTAATTGTATTTTGTTTTGAGATAAGGTCTGGAGTAGTTCAGGCTGACCTTGAACTCCTGATCTTCTACATTCTCTTCCAGGCACTTGGGACTACAGGACTGGCCTATAACACTTGGCTTTCCCACCACTGTTTTGTTTGAGACAGGGTCATAGCCCAGCCTTGATCTTCCTACATCTGCCTCCTCAGCCAACAACAGGAATTACAGGTGTCTACATGAAAACCACACCCCAGTCTGGCCCACTTTCTCTCCCCATGCCTTTGCTCCAGCTACACTGACTTCTAGTCTGCTCCTCAATCAAGCTACACTAACCTACCAGATCCTATGGCTTAAGGTCAAAACTTGAGACCAAATGCCCTTCAGCCTAGTCCCTGCATTTTCATCCTTTCTGTGCAGCTCAAACATCACCTTGCTCCTACCGTCTTCTGTCTCTTTCCTCCCTTCCTCTCCTCTGTGGTGCCCTTACACCCCATACTATCCCTTGAGTAGTGGCTTCCTCCCACCAGGCCTCAGCTGCATCACTTGGGAATGTGTTGGTGATGTACAGATTCTCTGCAACTCTCCTTACTCCCTGAGTTGTCTTGCTGGCTTCCCGGCTCTTGTTTGTTTGTTTGTTTGTTTTGTTTTTTTGAGACAGGGTTTCTCTGTGTAACAGCCCTGGCTGTTCTGGAACCATTTTGTAGACCAGGCTGGCCTCAAACTCAATAGAGATCCACCTTTCCGCCGCTGTGCGCTGGGATTAAAGGTGTGCACCCCTGTGCCCTGCAACTAGGGATGGTAATGACTATCTCAAGACTGAGGCTGGCAGAACTGGGATTCTGGTGGGGCAGGCTCATGGATTCTAGAGCAGATAACCCAGGAAAGCAGGAAAAGAAGGTCTGGAATTGCAAGACTGGATTGAGTTTTTAAATAGAGCCACACCATCCTACCCCAACCTCACTCCTGACCAGGATTTGTATTGCATCACCAGAACCCCTTTGCCCCTGCTGGTCAGACCTGAGCCCAGGCACACAGAAGTGTTCAAGGATGCCCAGTTACTTCTGGGGATTGGAGAGGTTCTACCTGTATCCTGGGGCCCAGGCCCTGTGCTCCACCATCTGCAGAGCATCAGGGCTGAGTCTGAAGCCCAGGACACCTACTGCAAACCATTTTCTTAATGTGTTGACCTTTTCTCCTGCCAACCAGCCCCAGGCTCAGCCAGCCTGTCAGAAGGAGAGGATCACAGAATCCCCCAGAGCCCCAGCTTTGGGCTGGCTTCTCATGACCCCTGTCCCATCTCTGTTCCTATACCCTTGCTCAGCTGAAGTCGGGATTGAGATGGATTTCAGAGCCACAGCATGGCTGATCCTGGTCAACACTCACCCTCTAAGGAGGTTTGGGGACAGGCCGTTTATGTTCTTAATGGACTACGTACACTGCTTTTGCTTTGTTTTTCATTACGCACGCACACTGACCCCACACCGACCACTAATCCTTCAAGGGTCTCCTACTCACCATGTTTCAGGTTGTCACTCCACTCGCCCTCGTAGTGATCACCATTCACAGCGAACACTTGGTGCCTCCGTCCATTCTTCTGGGCTTTCTGCTCCCATTTTTTCCACAGGGGCTCTGCTTTTTTGGGGTACTTGGTGACTGGCATGATGGGTGCTTCTGTGATGGTGGTGGAGGAGGCTGGCAAAAGGTAGGGGCATCAGGGGCTCAGTGTATCCCATGTATCTCTGGGATCCTGGGGTTTCTTGGGGAGGTGCCAGCCTGAGTTCCAGGAGGGCAGGTCATGTGTGTTCTGAGTCCCCAGGGCAGGTGAGCAGCCCTAAGCGGGGACCCTGCTGTGCTAGATTGACCCAGGACAGCCACTTCCTTTGCATTTTCCTGGGTCCCTTCTATGGGAGGTGTGATGGCACAATCCCTTTGGAACCCAGGGAGACCAATAGGAACCCAGGCTTTGTGATGACATCAGGGAGATGCTGTTCCTGGGAAGAATGATGGTCACTGACATGGTGACTAGGAGGACCAATCAGACTGGGCTTTGGTGGAAGAGGAGCACAGTGGGAAGGGTCAGGTGGTAGTAAGTCCAGGGGTGTGAGTGGGGAGCAGAGAGACAACTGCCTTCTGCACACACTGCAGAAGCATCCCAGGCCCAGCACCTGCACTATTATCTATTATCGCTTCCTCATATCTGATAGATGGGACAGAGAATGCTTAGGAAGTTGCCTTTCAGCTGGGGAGATCCCACAAATTAAAGAGACTGAGTCCAAGGTGATTGATTGTCCTAGAATGGCTAAACAGTGAGACCTTGCCTCAAAACAAATACACTAGGAAAGTCCTTAAAACACTGGTCATCTGTCCGCATCTGACCCCTGACCCCTGTTTAAGCACGCTATTCAAACCCCTGGCTAGCTCTTTCTATGGATCTACATCATGCTTTGTTTATGCAGGGCTGAGGATCAAACCCAGGGCCTCATGTATGCTAAGCAAGTACTCAAGCAACTGGTCCTCTGCCTTTTCCAGAAGGCAGCATCAGATCCCATGTGACTGGAGTTACAGTCAGTGATGACCCACCATTTGGATTTGGGGATTCAAACCTGGATCCTCGCCCTGAGCAGGCGGTGCTCTTAACTGCTGAGCCACTCCAGCCCTACCCAGTCATTTCTCCACATGACCTTTCAGCAGAAATCTGGATTCCTGGCCTCAGATGGGGAGTGGGAACTTTGAGAGGGGGCAGTAGTATGGAAGGGTTTTGCTGCTGGCAGAATTCTGGGGCTACCAATCTGCATTTGCAGTATCTTTATATGCTCTTCAAGACCACTCTTGGTAGTACCTTTCCCTGCTGAAAGCACCCCTGCTCTGGCCACCATTCTCAGCAGAGATGACAAGGGACCATGTGTTTTTCTGTTTCTTACCATACCCAGTACCTGCACAAAATAGGTCCCCAACTGAGGACAGAGGGATGCTGGGACTGTTAATGCAACCTGTAGTCAGAACTGCTAGAAAGTTGAAGCAAAAGAATCACCATGAGTTTGAGGTCAGCTTGGGCTACAAAGTGAGGCCCCTGGATCAAAAACAAGCAGAAACCAGGGGGGGAGAGGATGGCTCAGTGGTTAAGAGCACTTACCACTCTTCTGTTGTTGTTTTGGTTTTTTGAGACAGGGTTTCTCTGTGTAGCCTTGGCTGCCCTAGACTCCCTTTGTATACCAGGCTGGCTGGGAACTCATAGAAATCCACCTGCCTCTACCTCCCACTATGCTCGGCTTCACTTAACCACTCTTGCAGAGGACCTGGCTCAGTTCCCAATACCCAGAGTGCAGCTCACAGTGTAACTCCAGTTCTAGGGAATCAAATGATGGCATACATATTGCACACAGAAATACAGGTAGACAAAACACCCATTCACATAAAATTGAGAGAGAGAGAAAGAGAGGGAGAGAGAGAGGAACAAAAGTTAAAGGAGGTATTGGTGCCATATTAGCCCAAAAGTGACAATGTGTTTTGGACTTACTCAGAACTGTAAGAGAATCCTGCCCAGACTCTAATGATGTTTGTTATGGTGTCAATAAATGTCACTGCTTATCTAAGATTCCACTCTTGTCCCCACACTTTTCTGAACTTACAGAGAGGTTGAAGTCGACCGAAAAAGAAATGTCTACAAGCCTGCCCAGGTTGTTTTGTCTCTAAAGAGCAAAGGAGAGTAGTTTGGGCACTGGAGGCTCGGGGCACAGACAGCTGGGGGTCATTTCTGAGCTCGAGCCCGGCTGCGTCCACCCAACTCACCTGTACTAGCAGCTTTGAGTTTCCATTCAGCTAGAGTTAAACAGGACTGTGAGGCCCCCGGGAGGTTGTTACGGTAACAGCAAAGCAAGCTGGCAATGCCGGCTTCTTCCTGCAGAGGCAGGAGAGCGGGAAGTCATTTTTGTTCATAGTCTCATAGGACTGCTTTGGAGACCGTCTCCGTGGAAGTCGCATGGCGTACAGATCATAGATACAAAATCTTGATCCCCAAACGCTCATATCCTATGATGTTGCCCTGCAGCTCCTGGAAGACCTGTCTCGCTCCTCTACTTTTCTCTTGGTCCTGTCCTGCTAAGCCTCCCACTCAACATTTGCTGCAGCTACAACACACTTGCTTCCCTGCTGTTCTTGGAAAGTGGGCCACATTCCTGCTTCAGGCCTTGGGCTCTTTTGGGACAGCTGCCAGGACCTCTCTCCCTCCACTTGAGAGCATGGATCTTGCCTTCCTGTCCTGTTAAACATTAGCTCCTCATTAGAACATGAGAACCCAGGAGTTCTCAGAAACACCCTATTTAAAATGGGGACCTCCTTGTGTTTCATTCTTGTTTGTTCTGTTCCAGCATTTAGCAATGCTACCAACACACCCACCCAGCTCCCTAGAGTTATCTATCTGTAGAGATATAGCTTTTTCTCATTCTCAGATTTTTTTTTTCCCTCAAGACAGGGTCTCACTATAGCCCTGGCTGTCCTGGAATTCCGTATGTAGACCAGGCTGGCCTAACAGAGATCCACCTTCGTCTGCCTGGAAAGTGTTGGTATTAAATTTAAGATTTTATTTATTTTGAATGCTCTATGTACCTGCCAGAAGAGGGCAGTAGAAGGTACAGATGGTTGTGAGCCACCATGTGGTTGCTGGGACTCGAACTCAGGACCTCTGAAGAGCAGACAGAGCTCTTAACCACAGAGGCATCTCTCCAGCCCTCGTTCTCACTTTTATTTTGTGTAAAAATAAACAAACAGGGTGGTGGTGACACACACACACACACAGAATACAAATTTCAAACACACAGGAAAACATGGCTGTAACAAATAGCCACTACTTCCTCTTCCTGCACTCAACATGTGTGCTATTCTTCCCAGTCTGAAAACAGAGAAAGTTTTGTAGGTTTTTATTGTTGGAACTCACAGAGATCCGTTTATCTCTGCCTCTGAGTTCTGGGATCAAAGGTTTTTCCACCAAGCCTTTCTCACCCCACCGTCAGCTCCCTTACATTCTTGGTGACAAATGAACCGCTCTTTGTGTCAATATGATTTCGTTTCATTTTGTTTCCAGGCAGGGTTTCTCTGTGCAGCCCTGGCGGCCTTGGAACTTACTCTGTAGACCAGGCTGGCCTCGAACTCACAGAGATATGCCTGCCTCTGCCTCCCAAGTGCTGGGATTAAAGAAGATGTGTGCCAGCACTGCCAGGTGTCACTGTGATTTTAATTCTTTACAGGAATTAGCTGTTTCCAAATTCCTACCTCAAGTACTCAGTTGGCCCAGCTGGGTTCTATAGCCTGCCCTGGCTAACTCTGATTCTCCTCATTCTACTTCCCTCCTCAGGCACCTGGCCAGCAGCTGAAGCCAGCCTTTATCCTGGTACAAAATGTCCTTTGGCTAGAGGCCCTGTCTGGAGCCTCCTTGCCACCTGCTGAGCGGCACCGTGGGGTCCAGGCACTCATTCTTTCTAGGCCAGACTACAACCCAACATTCTGCATATTAGTTCCTCACTGTGAGTGGCTCGTTTTTTGTTCGTTTGTTTGTTTAATGAAAGTTGGAGGAAGCCAGGTCTGACTCGCAGAGGCAGGTCTGAGCTATGCTTTATTTGTATCACAATCTGGCCAAGGGGACAGGTTGTAGGCGTATGATGCTGCTCTCCCTGTGGGGTCAGAATCTGCCAGCATTTTTTAAAAACTTGTTTTTATTTTATGTGTATGAGTGTTTTGCCTGCATGGATGTCTGTGTACCATGTGAGTGCAGTGTCTATAAAAGCCAGAAGAGGATGTCAGATCCCCTGGACCTGGAGGTACAAACCATTGTGAGCCACCATGTGGGTGCTGGGATGGAACCCTGGTCCTCGAGAAGAGCAGCCAAGCACTCTTAACCAGTGAGCCATCTCCCTAACTCACGGGCATTTTTCACAAGTCTGTAAGTGGGTCACTTGGACTGGCAAGTCCTTGGTATAAGACTTTCGGCATTTATTTCAAATGCCCTTTTGCTGTTCTTGTTAAAGATTTTGTAAAATTTCTTGTTTTATGTGTTTGAGTTTTGCCTGAATATATAAAATGTACCACATTCCTCCTGCCTGTTGACTGCAGAGACCAGAGATTTAACTGACATTATGCCTGGTGGTAAACCTCCAGATTGGTGCTGGGAACCAGACACCAGTCCTCTGTAAGAGCAGCAAACATTCTTCACCTCCAAACCCTCTCTCTAGCCCTCAAACACGTTTATAACAATCTCTCGCCACATCTGCAAGGTTGGGATATGACTAGACTCTTCTCAAGGACTTCATTTACAAGAAGGGTGTTCCCGTGTGATGTGAAGAGAGAGAGGCTCCCCCCTCACCCATATATAAATGCTACCTTGGGGAGGTGTGGTCCTGTAGACATTAACATTAACTCCAAAGCCCTGGCTTAAGCCTGGGTGTTCTGCCCTAGCAAAGAAACCCCAGACCTCATTCAGAAGTGTCCAGATTCAGCGGGCATCATTCATACTGAAAATGAAATTGAGAGTGGGGCGTCCTGGATCAGAACAGCTTGGGTCTCAGCCTTCCCAGAATTACGAGGAAAGACCTACCTGTCTGGACCAGCAAGTCTCATTGAATACAATGGACAGAAGGTGGAATCAGCCCAAGTATCCAGCAGTGAGTGAATGCATAAACAAAGTGAAGTCTCTCTGTGCAATGGAATATTATTGGGCCATAAAATGAACGAAGTCATGTATGATGCATGCTGTAACACGGACAATACTTGGAAACACGATGCTGGGAGAAAACAGCTGGACACCAAAGGACCCTAAATATATCCCATTCATTTCAAGTGTCCATAGGAGGCCAATCCATCAGTAGAGAAAGTAGGTTAGTGGGTGTTGGGTAGTAATGCCTAAGGCACGAGTTGTTGTTTCGTTTCGTTTAGACAGTCTCATTCTGCAGCCCTGGAGGGCCTGGAACTTGTTTCGCAGACCAGGCTAGCCTCTGTCTCATGAGATCATGCTGCTTCTACTCTCTGAGGGCTAGAATTAAAAGCATGGGCCACTGCACCAGGCCTCCAGCTCTCTTTGCAGCTTCCTGGTCCTTCTGTCACCAGCTCCAGGGTGCTGGGATGAAAGTGTGTAACAACAGGCAAGGCTTGTTGGGATTTCTCTTTTGGGGGTTGATAAGATTGTTCTAAAATTGACTGTGGTGATGGTTTCACAACTCTGTGGGAAGTCTTAAAACCAACTGTATAGTCTAAATGATGTATGAATTATGTATCAATAAAGCTGTCTATGAAGTGGTCTGTGCAGAAGGAGCGCCCTCTAGGGGCTATCAGAGGTTTAGATTGGGTCACAGGCCAATTTCTGTTTGTTTCTTTAAAGACAGGAACTGCCTATGTAGCTCTAGCTGGACTGGAACTCTCTTTGTAGACCAGGCTGATTTTATTTTATTTTATATTTAGTTTCGGTTTTTTAAGACAAGGTTTCTCTTGTAGCCTTGGCTGTCTTGGACATACTTTGTAGACTAGGCTGGCCTTGAATTCACAGAGATCCTCCTTTCTCAGCCTCCCCAATTGCTGGGAATACAATCGTGCGCCACTGCGCACTGCTGGCTGGGCTGATTTTAAATGGAAATAGATTTGACTGTCTTTGCCTCCTGAGTTCTGAGATTGACCAGTCACTACAACTGGTCAATATTTTTACGGTGTTAAGCATAGAACCCAGGGCCTTGCACAGGTTCAGTGACTGGCACATTCCTTTAATTCCAGCACTCAAAAGGCAGAGGCAATCGGATCTCTGAGTTTGAGGACAGCCTAGTGTATAGAGTAAGTTCAGGTGTATAGAAGTTCAGAAATGGCTAGAGAAACCCTGTCTTGAAAAAAATAATACAATGTAGTCTTGGCTTTGTTTCTGGGACACTCACTTGTAGGCCAGGCTGGCCTGAAACTCATGAGCCTCCTGAGTGCTAGGGTTATGGGTTCATGTTACCACCCTGTAATTTCTTCTCTTTTAGTGCTGGGGATGGAATCCAGGCTGACTACAAGTTCTACCACTGAATTCCATCCGAGCCCTTGTTTAACATTTCACTGAAGTGTAAAAATGTGACAAGGTCTCATGTAGTCTGCACTAGCCTTTAAGTTGTTTTATAGTTGAGGATGATCTTAAACTCCTGATCCTCCTGTCTTCACCTCCCAAGTGTTTAGATTACAGGTGTGCACTGGCATGCCTCTTGTGAAAACCGATTTCCGCTGGGATTTTCTCCTTCAGGAACAATGTCTTTTTTTTTTTTTTGAGTTTCCTTGCAGCTATGTGGGCCATCTCCTAGTAAATCTGATTGTCTCTTTTTCTCTCCCTTTAGTCCTTCTTTTGTTCCTAATCTCTGTGGCACTGGCTCTATGGGACAGGGCAGGATGAGAACAGTCCCTTATTCTGGAAAGTTCTACTCGGCAGAACCGTGTTAGAGGGAATGGGCTTTGTCTGCTAGCCTCTATCCCTTTTCTGTCTGTCTGTCTCTCTTTTATTTATTTTTTTCAAGGCGGGCTCGCTCTTGTAGCCCAGGTGAGCTTGAACTATGTAATCAAGGACGGATATGAGCTTCTGGTTTGTCTTGACTCTAACTTGAAAGTGTTGGGATTGCAAAGGTAGCTGCCACCATGCTGCAAAATGCCCTGTCAAAGCCAAGCATAATGTCCACAGGCATAAGCCAGTGGAAATTACCGTGTCCAAAAATAGTTGTTAGGCAAAGCAATAAAACTAATAAATTATCCCAAGGGAAAAAAAAGCATGGCCTCACTAGCAATTAAAGAAGTGAAAATTAAAGAAACCCTTCCATACGATTACATACTGTCTAGACTAGGGAAAGTACAGAAAAAGAATGGCCTGTAATGCTGGCTGTCCTATGGTCCGAGAGTGCAGGACACAGCTGGCCATTCTTGCAATTAGGTAAACCCTTCTGAGGAACTTTCTGGAACTGTGCAGACAGAGCAGTACTACTGTCTTGTGTGTGAATAATCCTAGTTGACTATTATTTAATACAGAATTAGAATGAGGCTCTGGCACACTTTAAAAAATTACTTCTTGGGCTGGAGAGATGGCTCAGTGGTTAAGAGCAAATACTTGCCAGGAGGTAGGGGCCATATACCTTTGATCCCAACACTCAGGAGGCAGAGGCAGGTGGATTTCTGAATTCAAGGCCAGCCTGATCTACAGCGTGAGTTCCAGGACAGCAAGGGCTACACAGAGAAACCCTGTCTCAAAAAAACAAAAACAGACAAAAAAAGAATTTCCTTTTTAATTATTTTTCTGTGCTTGTTTTGAAGCACTTAAAAAAAAAAAATCATGCTAGTTTCTTCATTGGCCTTGCACTCTTTTAAGCCTCTCTTCCTCAAGGGATAATTACCTTAGGGAGATAGGAGCTATACAAACAAGAAAATATTTTCTCCCACAGAACAGCCGAGCAACTTCTTCAGGGCACAAGAATCCCTAATCTTTCAGTTTTTTAGAACAGTGATTAGGACTCATAAATCTCCAAGAGCGTGGTAGCACACACTTTTAATCCCAGCACCTGGGAGGCAAAGGCAAGCGCATCTCTGTGAGTTTGCGACCAGCTCGGGAAAGAGTTCCAGGACAGCCAGGGCTACACAAAAAGATTCATTGGTCTCAGCCTAAAGGGGTTTTGGCCCAATAACGTTATTAATTCAAGACTTTCTTGAGGGCGGTGGCTCTGTGGGTGGTTGCCACCAAGCCTGAGGCTCTGGTTCAAATCCCAGATTCATCCGGTAGGAGAGCTAGCCCCGGTAGCTTGTCTTCTGACCTCCATGCTCACACCACTGAGTGGGTGAGCTCTGCTTTGAGGTATGGCCTCCTGTAAGGAAGGCTGGTCACCTAAACCCTCATGCCTCTACCTCCCGGGTGCCGCGATTATTGGCCTGAGCTACCACGCTTGGTTCCTAAAATACTTTTTTTGAGGCTTCAAGCATTCCAGCAATGTTAAGAAATCATCAGGAGTAAATACAAAACTGAAATATTTCCGATTGAGATGGGGCGGGTTTGTAATCCCGGAGTCTGTGAGGCTGAAGCAGGAGGATGGAAGTTTTGAGGCCTGTCTGGGCTAACTGGTCGAACTAGTTCCAAAAACAAAAAATGAAAGAGAGAGGGAAAAAAAAACAAACAAAAAAACTCCTTCGCGTAGAAGAAAAAAAAAAAAAAGTGATTTTGCGAAATCCTTTAAAATCGAAGAATAACTCCTGTGCCCAGACACCAGCGTTCACGTGACTTGCAAAAGCTCCAGGCACCACGGGCGGAGTCACGACGCTGCCCCGCACTTTCTGCCCCACCCTCCGTAGGCTCCGCGTGGAAAAGGCCCCCTCCCCCACTCACTTCCGCGACGGGCATCCAGAGCGCAGGCGTAACTCCCAGAGTCTCCTTTCCGTTGCTTCCCAGGCCAGCGTTGGCCAATGCGCATGTGCGAGGGGGCTAGGCCGGGTACTGGCGCGGGGGCAGGTGGCTCTCGAGAACTCGCGCGACTGACTCCCCCCACCTGGAGAGGCGGGCGGAGCCGCGGCGCCTTCGGCGCGCACGCGCGCTGGGTGCAGGGCCCGGCGACCGTTGAAGCGCGCCGTACGCATGCTCATTGAAAACGGGCGCAAAGCTCGTGACGTCAGCCGCAGAACCCGTCTGTGGGTAGCCCGTCGTCCGCAGCCCGTAGCTTTAAAGAGCTGTATTCTACCTAACTGTGGCTTTGATGTGTAATTTCATTTTATCGTGATTAAAAACTCACCATGATTCTTGGGGAGATTTCAAGTTCACGTTTACGGTGTTCTTGGTTAAACATAACCAAATGTTTTTGTGTAATATTTATTTTTAGCTTATGTGTTTGGCTGTTTCGCCTGCAGGTATTATGCACCATGTGTGTTCCTTGTGCCGGAGAGGCCTGAAGAGGGCGTCAGACCTCCCGGAACTGGAGTCGCAGGTGTTTGTGAACTGGTGAAGTGCTAGGGAACAGGACCTCCCAAAAGAGCAGCCAGTGCTCTTAACCACCGAGCTTTGGTTTTTGTCTTTTGAGAGAGGCCTCCCTCTTGGAGGCTGGGCTGTCCTTGCATTTATAATACTCCTGCCTCAGTTTCCTAAGTGCTAGAATTACCACCGTGCTTGGCTTAAAATGCTTTTTGAAATTAAGTATTTAGGGCTGGAGAGATGATGGCCCAGTGGCTAAGAGTCCTGGCTGCTCTTCCAGAGGCCGCAGTTTGATTCCCACCAACCGCATGGCAGATCTCGATGGTCTGTAATTCCAGTGAATCTGATGCCCTCTTCAGGCATCATGTGCTGCACGGACACACACTACCATGTACATTAATAATAACGGTGATCATCTTCTAAGTAAAGGCGTCCATGAGGGCTAACTGTGTGTGTCAGGCACACTTAACGTCTCCTGTGGCCTTTACTAAATTTTTCCTTATACAGTCTGTACTGGGCTGGCAAAATGGCTCAGCAGGTACAGGTGACTCCCTCCAAGCCTGAGGACAGAGGTTCATCCCTAGAACCCACATAAAAGGAGAGAACAGACTCTCACAAGTTATTCTTTTATATCTTTGACCTTCAAGTGCGTGTGTGTGTGTGTGTGTGTGTGTGTGTGTGTGTGTACACACTAAAGTAAAAAAAAATGTGTAACAGCTAGGTTTGGTGGCACATGCCATTAGTCTCTCAGCACTCGGGGTAGAAGCAGATGGAATTCTGTGGATTAGAGCCCAGCTTGGTCTGCATAGTTATTTTCAGGACAGCTATGATTACATAGAGACCTTGTCACAAAAAATAGAACAATTATATTCATAATTGTTAAAAACTGAATTTAAAATGTGCCTTTTAAATTTCTTCCACACTCAACCATACTCTTTCCTCAAATGTAGTGCTATGAAATGCCCATCTCGGTGATGTCCTTGGACATCAAGGAGAATCTTGACAGCTTTACCTCCTTGCCCTTTAGTTCTAGAAATGTTGCTTAGCCAGTGAGCCCAAGGGTTTGTTGATTTTAAAAATGCCCACCAGTCTCACAGCACTGTCAGAAGTAATTTTTTAAAAAATTGTGCCTGTGTGTGTGTGCATATTACAAATACCTTGGAAGGTCATAGAACCCCTGGAGCTGGAGTTACAGGCAGTTAAGTTGTAAGCAACCCAAGATGGGTGCTGGGACTTGAACCTGGGTCCTCTGCAAAAACAGTATGTCCTTTTTTGTTTGTTTGTTTGTTTTGAGACAGGATTTCTCTGTGTAGCCCTGGCTGTCCTAGAACTCACTTTGTGGACCAGGCTGGCCTTAAACTCAAATATCTACCTGCCTCTGCCTCCCTAGTACTGGGATTAAATTTGTGCACCACCATGCCCAGCAATAAACACAAATTTTTAAAAATTAAGTGTAGCTATAAATTAAGTGTAGTTATAAATTAAGTGTAGTTAATTTATAGCTGTCCAGTTATTCCTGTATTTAACAAATACATTCTGTGCGGACCTTTAACCCCAGCACTTGCGAGGCAGAAGCAGGAGAATCCCTGCTCCACACAATGAGACTCTATCTAAAACGTCAAAATAAACAAGCACAGAGGCATTCTGAATTCAGCATCAATAGCCATTTGGGAAATGCAAACCAAATTTCAGTGCTATGCCAGTTCATACCCAGGAGCAACGTGAAAGGCAGCTCGAACATGTGGAAGACACAGAGAGGGGCTGCAGAGAAACCTCAGTGGCTAAGAGCACTGGCTGCTCCTCCAAGGGACCTGAGTTCAATTCCCAGCAACCACATGGCAGCTCACAGCTGTCTGGAACTCCAGTCCTAAGAGATCTAAGAGAGCCACCTCGTCTGGCCTCAGGCACCAGGCATGCAAGTAGTGCACAGGAACACCCACATATTTAAAATAATAAATGTTTTAAAGGCAAAGAAAAACGAAAACCCTTACAAGCCACTGACACAGCTGGAACATGGCACAGCCACTTCAGAAAATGATTTGACAAATTTAAATGTGTGGCACATAAATTTCACTTATGCATGTGTCTGTATGAAAACGTGTCTCTGTTATTAAAGCATCTTTTGAGGGGAGTTGTTTGCTTTGTTTTGATTTTGGAGACAGGGTTTCTCCCTGTAGCCTTGGCTGTCCTGGAACTCACTCTGTAGACCAGGCTGGCCTCAAAACTCAGAGATCCACCTGCCTCTGCCTCGTGAGGGCTGGGATCAAAGGCATGCACCACCACAGACTGACTAGCACCCACTCTTATGTACACATACCCATACACAGGCAGAAACACAGAAATAAATAACAAATCTTTAAAAAAGTAAATAATCTAAATGTCCATCAATTCAAGAAATGAATAAAATGTGACCTCAAATACAGTGGAATAGTATTCCGTCTTAAAAGGGAATGATGTGGTATATATATACTGCCCCATGGGAAAACGGTAACAGTGTCCCATAGGTGAAAGTCAGGCTGTGTGGGTCTTCTGCGAATGCAGCGTGTGCTCTAAACGGTCGAGCCATGGCTCCGGTTTGCCTGCTTGGGTTTTGCAAGCGCTGGGATTCCGGGCATGCAGCACCGCACCCGGCTTCCATCTTCCATTTGCACCATCAGGCCCATCCACCGCTGCAGACGACAGCAGCCATCTTCCACAGCTGCGATACTCTGTGTGTGGATCCCCCCACTCGACCCCGACAGTGTGTGGGGTTCCAGTTAGGGATCTAAAGAAAGAGCTGCAGTGGGCAGCTTGCTCCTTTCACCCAGTCCCTAATTGGATACAGTGTTCTATTTCCAACCTTTTGACACTACGGTGTCTTTCACTGCGCTTTTCACTCCCCAGAGGATGCGGGGCCCTTCTGCTTTCTCTAATTACCTTTCGAAAGCACGTTTCATCTGGTTAGTGGTTTCCAAAAACATCCAAGTGTGTTTTCCTGAAGGCCGACAGTGGACTAATTTGCACTGAGCCGAGAAGTACCACTTGGCAGAAGAAAGCCCTTGAAAGAGTTGAGCGAACTCAGGCCTCTTAGCTTCCTCGTGTTTGACAACAGAGCAAACACGGCCTCCGGTACATTTTCCACACACCTTCATGAGAACAGCTGCTAGCTGTTTACCGTCTGCTCCACAAACACCACTTCACTCAATCCTTGCGGCTGTCCCAACAGGACGGGTGTGATCACTGTTTTCAGGATGATGGAAGTGAACACCAAAGCACAGCAGCTGTCAGGTGGCTGCCCAGGTCAGCTGCCCAGCAATGCTGTGGTTTAGATTCAAGGTTATTTTTTTTTTTCTTCCTCATTGTAGGTCATTTCTCTTTATCACACGGTGACTAGAAACCTGAGACGGAAATCTTCCTGCACAGAAAATTCCTTTATTTTTATTTTTATTTTTTTAAGAAAGGCTCGTGTAGATGACAGTAGAGACCAGAAGAGGGCGCTGGATCCCCTGAAACAGGACCGACAGGCAGTTGTGACCGGCCTGATGTGGGTGCTGCCACCTAAACCCAGGGCCAATCTCTGCAAGAACATAAATGCTGTAACTGCTGAGCCATCTCTCCATCCCATCACTTAGGTATGTTTGTTATGATCTGAATGTCTGTGGTGGTATAATGTGGACAACCTTCTGGAAGATGAGAAAATACATCTACTACATAATTTGTTGGGGCCCAGGGCAAAATGGCAGTGAGCAACTACACAGATATGTCCATGAAACCAGTGCATTTTTACTACCTAATGGACATTTTGATAGATTTAAGAGTTTCCTTTTTTGGAATCCAGGCATACAGCCAGGCAGAACACAGTATAAATAATAAATAAATCTAAAAAAAAAAAAAATGTTTTTTCCTTTTTAGTTTGTTGTGGTGGCGCATGCCTGGAATCCTAGCACTCAGTGAGGCGGGCAGATCTGAGATCAAGGCCAGCCTAGTCTACACAGAGAAATCCTGTCTGGACATTTTAAAAAACTTATTATCTTCTGATTGTGAGTTCACGTACCACGGCAGCACGTGGAGGTCAAAGGACAATTTTGTGCAATCGGTTCTCTTCTTCCGCCTCTGTGTGCGTTCTTGAGAATTGAAATCACATCGTTAGGCTTACTTGGTCGACTCAAAATTGCCTTCACCCACTGAGCCATCTTGCCACCCTAAAATTTTCATTTACTGATTTAAAATACTAATTTAAAATTCATACTTTGAGCTGGGCATAGTGGCACACGCCTTGAATCTCAGCACTAGGGAAGCAGAGGCAGGTAGATTTCTGTGAGTTTAAGGTCGGCCTGGTCTGCAGAATAAGTTCCAGCCAGCACCCAGCACTCCATAGTGAGACTCTGTCTCCAAAAAAAAAAAAAAGGACTTTGGGACTTGGAAGATACTAACTTTAACTTGGTAATACTTCTCATGCACGAATGAGGATTTGGGTTTGGATCTCCAGAACCCATTTAAAAAGTCAAGTATGGAGCCAGAGAAATGGC